CTTCTATGAGCATGTGGTAAGACTCTGTGAGACATGACACTAAACTCTGCCATTAGGATGCCCTTGGGGGTGGTGCATGTATCCGAAAAACTGAGGGAAGGAAGACTACGGTGGTTTGGGCATGTCCTTAGGCGACAACCGTCGGATGCAGTCAGGAGGGTAGAGTCGATTAAAGTTGACGATGCCAGAAGGAGAAGACGACCAAGGCGGAAGTGGGAAGACTGCTTGAGATCTGATTTGAAGGATTTAGCCCTTACCGAGGGCATGACCTCTGATAGGAAAGTATAGAGACTTAAGACTAGGGTAGCCGATTAGTGCGGGTCACAACCTTACGGTGTAACATCTCTGTCTTCTTTTTATGCATTTGTAGTAATTCTCATGACTTCTACTTTTTATACGTTTTTGTCATTGGAATTTATGAAGGCTTAGAACTAGGGTAGCGGAGTAGTGTTGCCTTAGTGTAAGTTTTAACCCATTTGACTTTAATCCTTCTCGTAGCTTGCTATCTTTGACTTATGCGTATCATTCTCTTCAGGTTTCTTCTTTTTAAATTTAGTCGGGTCTTACGTTTCTGTCTATATGCAGAGATTTTTACGCAGGGATTTATTTGCAGGGATTACTTCCCATTTAAGACGTGCATATGGCTGGCTGGCTGGCTGTCCCTTGTTCACATATGTAATGGGGTAAGGGGGAGGTAAGATAATAGGCTGCCCCCAACACTAGGTTGAGAGCAGCTTCTGTAGGAGACCTCCAAATTATGAAATGCCCTCCATGGGACTCGATCCCACGACCTCAAGGTTGAGAACCTTATGCTCTAAGGAGACGTGCATATGAAGACTGTATATGAAGAATGTTCAACTATGTATTTATTTATTTATTTATACATGTATTGCATTATATCTTTATTTTTAATTTTTCTAATTGCCGGAGGTCTTACACGAAAGTTGCTCCCAACCTTGCGCTAGGGTCAGCCTACTACCCTATCTCTCCTTACCCCATTACATATGGGAATAGGGTTTTGTTGTTATTGTTGTTGTAATTACTACGCTTTTGATTTTTCGACCTAAATCTTGAAGCCCCGCCGTCGTCGTCGAACCTGAGCCGACAAAGCTCCGGACTCTCGACCTGCCCGCCCAATAACGCTTTCGACTTGGCTTGGCAATTTCAAGATCGCTTTCTTTTATCTTCTCTTGGCCTAGCGCAACTCTTCAATTCCCCGTTCTCGTCCCCGCTTCACTGATCTCGTCCTCGAAAATGGCTTTCATTTTCAATTAGGGTTTCTAAGATTAAACCCCTTAGTTTCCGAACCCAATCTGCACCACTTCTTTTTCTATCTTATACAATTCATCAACATGGCTATTCGCGTCACCGTCAGTTTCTCCGGCTACGTCGCCCAGAACCTGGCCTCTACCGCTGGCTCCCGTCTCGGGTCTTTCTCATCTCGATCACTCCACGAGTGCTGGCTCCGCTCCCATTTTGTTCCCCCCAAACAGAAATCAGACGTCGATCCTTCCACTCCCAGTGCCTACCACGCCTCTTTCGTATTCGATCTACGCCACCCGCGTCCGATCATGTACTCGACCGTCGCGTCTGAGATCCTCAAAGACGGCGGCAATAACCCAGTTTTCGCTGGTTTGATCTTGCTGATGAAATCAACGGCTTCTGGTTCTTGTTCCTCGGTTACCACTATGGGAATTTTGCCTTTTAAAGCCGCCACGATTCTCCCTTTCTGGAAGAATTCGAAGTGGCTGCCGCGTAATGAATCCGCCCCTCCGGTCGGAGTTGAGAATACTGAGGTGGATAGAATAGAAACAAGCGATGATCGAAATTTGTGCTTGGAGTTGGAAACCAAAACTTTTGTTAAAAGCAGTTGGATTTCAAGGATGATACACAATTGCTCCGAAGATGCCAAGACTGCTTTTACTGTTGTAACCGTTAGTATACTTTTGCGGTCGTTCTTAGCTGAGCTAAGGTCAATTCCATCTTCTGCTATGTACCCTACATTGGATATTGGTGATCGCATTTTGGCCGAGAAGGTAAAACCGCCTTCTTAGACTGCGAAATCAAGATTGTACGTTTAATTTTCTTTCTTTTCTCTATTATGAACAGGTTTCATATTTCTTTAGAGAGCTGAAGTTTCGGATATTGTAATATTCAGGGCACCTCCTATCTTACAGGTAGGTCTTAAAATCTGCTCTTTTAAGCTCAAATTCCATTGCCTCATAATTTGTATGCGCTGATTGATTTATTTCAATATGTAGGAAATTGGGTATAGTTCAGGCGATGTTTTTATAAAGAGGATTGTTGCAAAGGGCTGGAGACTGTGTTGAAGTAAGCTCTTACAAATCCAAATTCATTCTTATTAAACATATAAGGTCTTTGTCCATGCCTGTCTTCATTGTTTATTTCACTTTTCCCATTTATGATTTTTCCCGTGTGAACTTGTCTGTAAAATGTATAGTTGGTTATAATTTCTTGTAGGTTCGTGACGGGAAACTGTTGATTAATGGTGTTGCACAAGATGAAGATTTTGTTCTGAAACCATTGTCTTATGAAATGGAAACTGTTGATTAATAGTACTTGTTTTTTCCGTTTGTATATTGTACATTGTTTCTCTGGTTCTTCATCTAGCTTTGTTACATAGTCTTTGAGTTGATGCCATTGGTGAAATAGAGTGTGTGATTTCTTTTGGGTTGTTTCTGCAGGTTGTGCCTGAAGGTTATGTTTTCGTGTTGGGGGATAATCGTAATAACAGCTTTGATTCCCATAATTGGTAATTCTAAAATTCCATTACCACCATTAACCATATAGTTTGGGAATGAATTCAATGAGTTGCGGAAACAAATTATGCTACATGTTTTTCTAGCTTATGAAAGAATCTGTAATTGATTTAGGATTAATTCTGTTTCTGACATCTTGTTTGCAATTATCTTCTTTGACAGGGGTCCACTTCCCATTGATAACATTATTGGGAGGTCCGTATTTCGCTATTGGCCCCCGTCCAAAGTTTCAGATACCATACATGATGCACGTTCGGGGAAGGATGCTGTAGCTGTTTCTTGAGATCCGAGACAACTTAATACTCACATTTACATGGTTGTGGCTCATATTGAGCATCTTTGAATACTCATGTCTCTGGACGTGGTCTAGGATGGATTTCGCAGAATCAAGAACAGAAAACCTGATTAATTTCAGTTACTTGGAGCGTTTTTATCCTGATTTTGTTGTTTTTATCTTTCATATTTCATGCTAGAAAGTGAGCTGCCCTTGTGAAAATGGTGATTTGAATTGAGGAACTGGAGGTCTAAGGTTGTTGATATAAGAGTTGCAAGGTTTTGTAACTTGAAGCACGAGTGGATTGTGCTTTGATGGCTGGAGAAAGGGGAAGTTGAAGGACAACATGCATACTACGAACACAAATGACCCTTTAAAATAGGGAGAGGGTGGTAGGCTGTTGATTTTCGACAACAATGCTGTTGGTTGTTTGATGTTACATTATTTGAACTTCATTTTCATATATGCCATTCAATTAATTGTGGTGGATTCACCGTCTTGTTCTTCTCTGTTGGATCAGTTCAACATAATATAAAATAAAGTGTTAGATTTTTGGTTTTGGAGATTATAATGTTTTATTGAAAATTTTCATAACCAAAATAGAATTTTCATTATCAAACTAAAAGTTTGGTCTAATTATAATTTATTTTTTCTGTTATATTGAAATTTGAAATTTAACTAATTTATTTTCATTTAATACAATTTAATTTGTTTATTTTTTAGCAAAACCACAAAGGGTGTTTGATCCCCAGTCCACCTCTAGAGCTCATATACTTTTTTTAATTGTATTTTTTGTTTTGATAAATTCTAAATCTAATCTTAATCTTATTTAGGGGTAGGGGAATGAAGACTCTAAGAAAAGGAATAAGAATGCTCTTAATAGATTTAAAATCCATGACTTAAGAGAATATAAGTGAATAAAGATGAGTAACTTGACCAACCGATCAAATGTACTTACTCTTAAATTGATTTTTAATAAGTATATCATGAAACATTACTTGTCACATTGATGAGTTTAGATAAAAATTATTAAAAAAAAATAGAAAAAGATGTTGAGAGGTTTATTTGCACATCTATAACTGATGGTTTTACTTCTATGAAAACAAGTAGGGCACGATTCTAATAAATTTGACTTGTGACTCTAAATTATATTTATATTTATATTTTGTATTAAATTGTTGATGCACCTAATTCTAATATTCTAATTGTCTCTGTTTATAATATTATTAATAGGTATAAAATGATATAGATAGGTAACATTTAATTTTGAAAGTGACAATAATTTTTTATATAAAAATAAAGTCTGAAGTATTTGATTGATATGTAAGTCTATTATTTGTTGAACATAACTAATGGAATTTTCATGTGTCTTTAGGTGACCGAATATTGAATAGAAAAAAACGAAGTCATCGTTCAACTAATAATTGTATCAATTTAGATCTACTAATTACTTTATAAAAATAAAAATATCAAAATTTTTTTAAATTATAGTAAGAGAATTAAATTGTAAACGTGAAAATATTAGCAAGATTGAAAACACAATTAGATCTAAGACAAGGTCATAAAGTTGGGATAAAAAAGTCTTACCAAAGTGCACTGGATTCAATCCTTGACGAAGTTTAGTTTTATTGACTAAAATAAATAAAAGTGAAAGAGGGTTTGGTTAACATCCAACTCCCAGGCAAAAGAGATGGGAGAAATGGCGTCGTTTGACGGCTGAGTGTTTAAACATTGAAAATCATTTCATTTAACTAACCCACAAGTTGTATTTAAATCATCTCCAACCCCTTTTTCTTCTAAGTATTGGGTTTCCACCCAATTTTTGGTGACCAAATGTCGTTCTTCAACTCTCTTAAATGACACTTTACACCGTTCCCTAATGAGAAAAGAATATGTGATTGTAGAGATCGGTCCAAGTGAAGAACAACGAGAAAAGAATTCTTTCCTATATAAGTTTTTAACTCCTACTCCTATTACCATCATTTCAATTACCAAGCTTGGGAGATGGCTTCTTCTGGTTTCAATGCTCAACAAATCATCCTCTTACTTGCAGTAGCTGCCTCTCTTTTGACGGTCACTCGAGCCGCAATGGTGGTCGTTGGAGACTCTGGAAACTGGCGATATGGTTACAACTACACGGAATGGGCGGCCAACACCGCGCCCTTTTACTTCCAGGACACCTTAGGTACTTGATGTACAACAATGTTAAGTTACTTGTTCTGCAAGACTGATACTTAGTTTACCATTTTGTTAAACATTGCAGTGTTCAAATATGATAACGCAACAGTTCATAGCGTGTACATGATGCCAAACTTGAGGAGTTACTTACAATGCGATTTCAGTAAAGCAAAGCTTTTAGCCGATCCAACACAAGGAGGTGGTGATGGCTTTCGATTTGTGTTGAACCAATGGAGGGTTTTCTACTTTGCTTCTGGTGAAGGCAATGACTGCAAAGATGGGCAGATGAAGATGGTCGTTGTCCCTTGGCCACGTTTTTAATAAAAACCCTTTGATATCACAAATGGAAGACACACTGTGCTAGTGCTATGATAAGCAGAAATAAGATTGTTCAATTATTTGGGACAGGCCTAAATGAATAATTAAATAATAAACTCAGGGCTTGATCATTAGGAATACTGTTGTTGATTGTTGGTACATTTTGTCTTGTTTTTCCTTTTTATTAGGTGTAGGGGGTGAATTTCGTTTTATGTCAATCAAAGGAATTTCCTTTTTATATAATGATAAATACACATATAATATTGTACTAAAAAGGTCAGGCAAAATCTATGTGTCTTCCTTGATGAAGTTGAAGAAGAACTGCAGTCTATGCGTCTTCCTTGATGAAATTGAAGAAGAACCGCAGTCTATGCTTCTTCCTCATGATATTGTAATAAATGTCCTAGTTCAACAAATAATTCTTTGAAGGCACTATGAGAGAAAATGTTTTTCCCCCACAACCTAGGATTGTGCTCATATACTCTCTAATTTCTCTAACAATATCATCCCTCATCACATTACAAAACTCTGCCGGCACTTTCTCATTTCCCATCCTCTCCGTCGTTTGGCTTCCTCTACCAGGCACATAATAATTAATTGTGATTGCGGCGTTTATTGTGAATATAGTTGTTGATGCTGCTGAGATTAATTAATTTGGACCTAGTAATAATATTATAATAACAGACTACAATTATCTAACTAGATAAACAACTTCTTCTTATGTGTCCTTGTTTCACTCTCTAGTGCTATCCTCACAATATCCGATCCCATTTCCTTTCGAAGCACGCTGGTGAGCATCGGTAGCTCGATCACAAACATCGGCATGCAATAGGGATTGTCTTGTATGGCTAACCAAACCCGGCTTTTTCGGTATCCGAAAATCGTCACCGTCATTATACCGTCCTTCAGCAATGGCTTCCGGGGCTTCCCCAACAATGCAGCCATCTTACACCCTGAGGTTAACATAGGGAAGAACTTGAACATACGCAAGAAGCCGCCGGAACCGGTACTACTCGTCGAACTCGAATTACGATGCTTATCTTTTGGAGTAGGCCGGAGCAGCGAAAGTATAGCCGGATTGTCCATTTGGAAATATGGACTAGAGTGACCATATGGCATTATTGGATTTTGTTTAAAGTACTTCCAATCCAAGAAGCTAGAAGGGAAATGAATTGGAAATCACTTGGTTTTGATTGTCCTTTTGGAAAGTTGGAATGTTTTCAGAGTCATTGAAGGGGGGGGGGGAAATGAGAGGATAGAGAGCCTATAAAACTTGTTGAAAAGCAATAATGAGACTAAAGCTTGATGTGACCAAGTTTAGTGATGTAAAGGAGGGTGGGTCCACAACTTTTTGTGAATAAACTCTTCGGGTGCATAGAAGTGGGTGACTGGAATATCGTTTATTAAAATTTTAAATTATTATATATTTTAAATATTTTTTTATTTTTTATTGATAATCTATTTTATAAGTTTACACTTTCTTAAAATTTAAAAGTTTAATGTAAAATCTTATGTTTCGACAATGTACTTGAAGAAATATGAAAAAAAGGACTGGTAATGTTGGGGTTTTTAGCATGTGCCTCACTGATCGTTACATATGGCATCAACATCACTTGCTTTATGTTATTTCAAACCCCCAGAACTCTCTATTATTATTGAGGTGCAGCTCATCTTCCCTTCACTGTTTATCCACCAAAATGGATAGAAAGACATCCTTTTGCTTTTGCTTGTGACTGATTCTTTGTTTGCCTCTCAATCACTTGTCCTTTTTCTATTGTTTCGAAACACGTATCATTCGAAGGAGGCATTTCAGGCAACAGCACAGCTTAAATATTGTTCTTCAGGCTGTTGATGTAATGCTATTGTAGCATGCAAAGTACATTATAAACCCCACTTTTTGAGTCGAAAGTCTTAGCAGCCATGTGAAAACAAATGCGCAGGTTGCTGTCTGAGAGGGATTTGTCTGAATTTTCTCAATGCTTTTTTTTGGTTCCTGGCCCCCTCCTACATTTATTAGATAAGTGTTTAAATTTACTTGGCGTGCATGAGTTAAACATCTTAACAGTGTGGTGTTTGTTGCAAGCTAAGAATGACTTGCATATCGCAAAACCAGCAAAAGGTCTTCACTGTGTTTGAACATAAAAAGCTAATCAGAATTCAAAAAGATAGCTAAACTACGAAATGGTAACTTTCGTTTCATAATTAATTTAAATCTGTAATTTTTTAAACATTTATATTATTTAATTATAATTTTTAGATAAAATATTAATTTAACACTTAAATTTTAGATAAAATATTAATTTAACACTTAAATTTTAAATAAAATGTTAATATAATTCTCGAATTCGACTAAAGAACCATGTTGTCGAATGATGGTCGTCTCTCACCACTGTCAACTGCCATCGACCAATTTTAGACCCAATATTTCCGATTCATTCATCCTTTTCTTTTGAACTTAATGTAGTATCTATTCATCAAAAAAATATTTTATACTCTAAGAATCTAACTTAAAACCCTTTAAAAAATAAAGACACGACAAAACTTTTGGTTTAACTTTTAATTTTATCAAAAGCCCAAGTTCTCCGCTTGTTTAAACGCATCTATTCATCAAAAGTACCTATATCTACAAATTTTAGTATTTCCACTTGTATTTATATTTCAATATATATACCATCTAGCAGTATAGTTTTATCTGCACCAAAAGTTAACATAGGGTTGGTTTGTTTCACTAAAAACATTTTATGGATAATGAAATCTGGAAAATGTTTTACAAAAATATAAAACATTTTTCAGAAAACATTTTTCAGTGTTTGGATGGTTCATTGTAAAATGTTTTACATTGTTTGGGTAATTTTCCTGAAAATTGTTTTCAGAATCTGTTTTTAATGAAGAAACTGTACATATTGAATATGTTTTATTATTTATTAATTTTTAAAGGTTAATTTTTATATATAATTATATTTTATAAAAATATGTATTTTAGATAATATTAATAATTAATTAAAAATATATTATAAAAGTTTATAAATCCTAAGAATGTTTAATTAATAGTACACAAAATTAAAACAACAATAGTACATAACATTGTACTAATAATAATATTGTCAAATTAAAACAACAATAATATCTAACCGTGATAATACATAGTCTAATTCATAATTAGTGCTACAACACATCAATCCAACAATACAAATACTGAAGTCTATACTACAACACATTAGAGTTAAAAAGTTGTCCAAGTCATAAAAAATTATACACCACATTTAAAGTTCACATCTTAACCTTGGGTAAACTTCTGAAGCTAAATTTTCCTATGCTTTGTTTTTTAGCCAAGAAAGCTTTGGCCTCAAGCTCATTCTTAGCTAGAAAATCGAAGACCTCACAAAGAAATTCGCTACCAAATCCTTCTTTCTCCATTGACATAACTTCTTCTTAAAGATATGGTGTCCTATCATCGGTAAAGTTTTTGAGTGCTTCAGCAATTTCACCAAGTTTCTCACCTACAAACTGAATATGATCATCCTCGACGTTTTCTTGGACATTCTTCCTTTTACGTTTTGATGTACCAGATGAAGATACGTTTGTTCTTTCCTCATCGACATGTTGAGTGTCGAAATTTAACGGCATTGATCCTTCATTAATATCATCCAAATCTATATCGACAAAAATTCTAGCAAAACTCTCTGTTACCGTATCTTGACTGACAACAAGAGCCATCTCATCATAAGAATCAATTTTTTTGTTAAAAAATTGACCATATTTCGGGTGTGTCTATTAAATATTATACACAATTAGAATAACAAGTAAAATTTAACTTTCAAGTAAAAATAGTATATAGAAATTACCGTCACTATAGCGGTATATGTAACTCCGTCACAGGTTATTATTTTCATGTTGTCGTCCCATCCTAATCCACTGTTTTCACAAATTGTACATATAGTTTTTCATGTGTTTTTTACAATCCTCAAATGATTTTCGACGTGTTTAGCGTCACATTGGACTCCAAAATTTCCGAAAATAGCTGTTGCAACTCGCTTTATAGAAATTGATTTGAAGGTATTAGATGGCTTATTACCTTTTTGTGTCTCATCTGCAAGTATTTCGAGGAAATGACGTTCCATTGGTTTTGTTCACCTAAAAGTTTTTGATGTGCTCATTGCTAATAAACATATAAATATAAAGCAATTAGACGATGGAACGCAAAATTTTAAAACTTACAATAATAATGATTAAATTTCAAACATAACATTATATATTTCATAGTATAACAAACTTAAACCAACAACCTAAAAATAAAATTTAACTTCAATGTTATATGAACTTAAAACAATAGCAAGTTCAATTTCCAACAAACTAAAAACAACAATATCCATCATATGTAACATACAAATACTTGGAATAAATATCAACTAATTACATATTTCTATTTATATAATCAATCCACATAGCTTCTGAAATTTCATTTCTTTTACTAGTCCATTCTGTAACATCCTCAATGTCGGGTTAGTGATTGAATTGAAATAATTCAGAATTTGTTGGTTAAAGTAGATAAATGGAAAAGTTTGGGGACTTATATTGAGAATTTTGTATAGGATTAAATATCAAAGAAGGAGAAATAGAAGAAGGGCAAAATGGTCATTTGACCTAGAAATGAATTAAAAATACATATGGAGTATATATTTATACACGTGAGAAATGAGGATTAAAGGAAAAGTCTCCAGAAAACTCTTTCTTCTTCTTCCTTCTCTTCACCGTGAAACCCAAAGGAAAATGTGAGTTTACTTGTTTGTTGGTTATTTGTTGAATTCAAGTTTGGTTTATGATCCTTAGGTGACACTTAAGCTTAAGGAAAGCTTAACTAGTCTTAAAACCATAAGATGAGGGAGTTGGGAGAGATTAAAGATAATGAGTTTTAAATGAAATTCTAGGAAAGAGTTGATAAGTGGATTTTAAAACTAAATTTGACTTGTTAATAGTTGAATTAAGAGATATGAAGTGATAGAATTGAATTTAGAACAAGTAGAAAATTTGGTATGATTCTTAAATTCTATATGAAAGATAGGATTTTGGGGTTAGAGATATGATTAATGATTAGAAATGGGTTTAAGCATGTGTAGATGAGTTATGAATATGTAAAGGGTTGAAACATGAAGTGTTTGTGAGGAAATAAGTGAATTTTCAGGCTTAAAATGTGATTTCTGGGCAAGGGGTATCAATACCCATTCAACAGGTACCGATACCTCAAGAGTAAAATTTATGAAGGCCTTCAAAGGTTACCGATACCATAAGGGAGGTATCAATACCAGGGAAATATCGAATGAAATTTAGGTACCGATACCCGTCTTGGTATCAATACCCTCAGCTAGTGTGGTACTAATACCCTATAGTGGGTATCGATACCTCTTCAAAGGGAAATTGAAAATAGACTTTTCTTTTAGTTTAAGGAATTAAAGGTATAATTATAGTAATTGGAATGTGTGATTGTGTAGATTTCAAGCACAAGCAAGTTCCAGATCAATCACCGAATTAGGATTCGATTCAAAGAGGTAGTTTTGCAAAATAAGTGAGGCCAATATGAGTGCATACTTTAGGCATAATTCAATGGAAATAAGACTTGTGATAAGTCTATTTCCTATGTTGGTTTCATAGTTCAACAGTTATAAACATGCATACATGATGATCATTATACGTACATGCATCAATTATATATATGTATATGTGATTTGATAAATGAGATTGATGATTATATGTGTATGTGACATGAAATAGAAGAAAATACATATGTGATTATAAGAGATATGACAAGAGTACATGAATATATGAAGTATAACAATAATGCCCATGTTATATGCGGTGAGAGCTATAGGTATAGTTGGCATGCCAAGAGTCGAGGGTTTCATAGGTCCTTCGGGACATATTTCACATGCCACTCAGTGGACCCTTATACGAGTTATGGTGACAGCATATGTGCACAACCTCATTATACTCGCATACCTTAAGTTCTCAGAATATGCATGCGCCTATAAACAATATAAAGAGTATGTATATGTTTTATATGATATTATGTTAATATTGGTTATTATGAATCATATGTAATGGAAGGCAATCATGACATGATA